AAAGGATATCCGATACCGGATGTTATATAACAAATGTTATATCTTACTTTCGCAGGTGAAATTCATTTTAGGTATAAACGGAGTCGAAGGGTCTATGGCCCACTAATTTACCACAGGACGACGGGCAAACGATCTATGTGATCTAAGCCATTACTGTGCCACATATTAATAGTTGACTCTTAACTTATAACACTTTAACGTGAATAAAAAGAAATTCTATTACGAGTCCCACAAGTAAACAGTTTTTTTTTCAAAATACCAAACAGATCCTGCATTTTAGCCATGCCTCATTTAGCTGTATTTGCTCTTTCCAGCCCTGTTTTTGCAGGGGCTGATTCTGTGATGTAGCTTTGATGCAAATGAGCTGCAGCTGACCACGCCCCCCTGCAGGAGACGGGAGCGTGCTTTGAGATCAGCTGCTGGGTTGTCAGAGGAGGGGGAGAAAAAGAGATCTCCGTCCTCCGTGTGTTATTCTTATATGATTATATAGTCATTATGCATTTGTTTTAAAGCTCAATAAATAACAAAGAAGACCTCTGACAGGCATCTTGTCCCGAAGATTTAAACTTTAACGTACATGTTGAACGGAGAAAAAAATTCGAACTGAAACTCTGCCGCACGGTCCCCTTGTTCCTTGGAAGAGGTGGAGAGGTGGTTGTTTGTCATCTGCTGGTGAACTAAAGGAGAGAATTACAGTGCTTGCCTCGACGGGGAGGGATTGCATTGAATAACAGCAGCAGGAGCAAACGCTTGCCTCGGGGAGGGAGAAAAAGAGCCACAGCGGAGAATAAACAGAAGGGCAACCATGGCAACCATGGCAACCATGCGTGGGAAGTCTTCTCTGCTGCTTTTGTGGCAGACTACAGCGCCACTTACAGGCCTGGCATATGTACTACAGCGTCTCCAGCCCTTTCGAGCGGCAATGGCCGTGGCCCAACCCTCCATTCCCCTGATAGGTGGAGAGTTGGCCATATAGGCGGAGCTCCCCGTTTCTGACGTCAGAACAATTTCAAATCTGTATCAGTCTGTATCAGCTTAGTTGCAGCCCCGTTTTTAGAGATTTGGGTATGGAGGAAAAGAGAGAGGGTTGTGTTTTCTGACACTTGGTGAGTTCCCTGACACACCTGGGACACATATTCATGTACAAAAGTGCACTTTGCATGATAGGTCCCCTTTAATGATTAAAACAACTTGTTAAAGTATAGAAATATTTTAAATGTACATTCATTTCTTTGTAGTAATCCTGACCACCTGAACTGTACATACAGAATATATAACGTTGTGGCAGTGCATGAACAGTAGGGTTCTACCAAACTAAACTCTTTTTTAACTTAAGCTCCAATGTGTAAAAAGTGCGTATGTTTGACACCCCTGATCTAATCCTTTATGTTTCTTCTGTTGTCTTTTCAGTGATCGTGGTTCTGTTCACGGCGTTGAAGCGCCAAAGAAAGCAGGAGCCCCTCATCATCTCCAAGGAGGACGTCCGGGACAACGTGGTGAGCTACAACGACGAGGGCGGCGGCGAGGAGGACACGCAGGCCTTCGACATCGGAGCGCTGCGACACCCGGACGCAGCCGCCGCCTTAGAGGAGTCGGCCAAACAGCGGCGGGACATCATCCCCACCGATACCCTGCTTTACCCGCCTCACCGTCGACCCGCCCCCGCCACATCCGGCCTCATCATGCCGCCGGTCAGCATGGCGTCACGGGACAATGGGGACGTTTGCGAGTTCATCAATCAGAGGGTACTGGAGAACGACTGTAACCCCACAGCACCGCCCTACGATTCGCTGGCCACCTACGCCTACGAGGGGGCGGGCTCTGTGGCAGAGTCCCTAAGCTCACTGGGCTCAGCGTCATCTGAGGGGGAGCAGGACTACCACTACCTGAGTGACTGGGGGCCCCGGTTCAGGAAACTAGCTGACCTCTACGGGGCCGACGACAGTGACTTCTCATAACTAACACACCAAAAGCACACACTCCCTTCCCTGCTTCAGGAAAGATTTTGACCAATAAGGGGCGAGGAGAGCAACGTCTTACTACCACAAACTCAATATTAGAAATCATGAACATTATTAATGAGCTTTAAGGAAATCTGAGAACTTTTAAAACATACAATGGACACAATCCACATGGTGAAGGAACAGATTTGCTGGCAGATGTTAATTAATGGGATATCGAATAATGCCTGGATCCTTACCTATTTTACCTGCTCATGGATCTAAAAATGGAGCTAACCAAGTCAACAGGGAATTAAAGTCCTATATCTGATTTTAGAGAGGTGGACTAATGGATAAATACATGTAAATTAAACAGTGGAGACTCAATTCAGCTATGAATTGAGTCTTGAATCAAAATTGGACTGTATTTTGTATATAATTGAACTTAAAATACTTTCAGGCTCCTGAGTGTTTATTGTGGTGAACCATCCAACGGAAAATAGATTGAGGAAAGTCTTGGTAACCAGGTCAGTGAACATACACACTTACCTCTACGGTTATGAAGTGAAAAGTGTTTGGAAGACAAGTTAGGGTTATTAGGTTTTGTTTTTTTTTGACTAAGTGCCCTTCTGCTGCCCTTCAGGCTGCATGCCTGCAGGTTGGCTGAGACTGGAGGGGTCTAATGACTCTTGATGATTGCTTTCTTTCTTTTTTACTGTCTTGTAAAAAAGGACCATTCCTGAGGAGCCGTTGTGAAGGATCTTCGCTTGAAAATCGC